CTGGCAGAGGGAGGAAAGAAAATAAGATGTCCTCATTAGAGCTGAGCTCTGAATTCTGAAAAGCATTAGCCAGGTGAACAGTACCTTCAAGGAGAAAAACTCAAGAATTGCAACAGATCTGTTTAATAGCAAGCCAGAGAAAGAAGGGTGGGGGAAATGTATTTTGAATCTTGCATAAGAAAACCAGGGAGAAGAGAAAACATATGGAAGGGGATAGAAAAGAGTCACTGGCAATTTGAGACATGGAGAGGGAAAACCCAGTTAAGGGACCTGCTATGTACACTGCTATGTACTTGAAGTCTACAGAGCTCATGTATTTTCCATTTTTAGGGGTGAAAGCATTTCCCTTCAGCAGTAATGATAAGCCTGGCCTTTAGTGACTTCCTGAAAAGAGAAAGTTAAGTGATTTAGGAGTGGGAGGCAGAGATACAAAAAATCTAATGCATCTTAAAAAAAGTCTCGTCTGGAGATAAGCTAAAAGATTGTGTTGTTCATACATTTCTATCTCCAAGTAGGCTAAGAATTTTAATCTGTACAAGCCTATATATCTTGGGTTGACAAAGGCTGGTTTGGAGATCCATTATAGCAAGCGTGTTTGTTTGGCATTTGTCCTCAGTTTAACACTTTAATAATGTGCTTAACGTTATTTTACCCTAGATAATTTTTAACCATTTGCTGTGAGGCATTACTGAAAATGAGATATGAATCTCTTTCTGAAAGGATCAAGTACCAAAGGAAAAGTCAGAAATGCCAGCACAGTTGAATCAACAGCCTTTCTTGATATGTAATTAAGTGCTTAATACCCCACTACTCCCAGGGAATGACATTTGAACCAGATCTTACTGGTTTTTATCCCCTTACATTCCTGATGCTAAGAATTAAGCCAAAAGCCTTAGCTGGAGTTGGTGTTTATATAGTTAGAGTTTGCGTATTTTTTTTTTCTTCCTTCCAGATCTTGGCTTTTGTTCTTCTATTATAACTGGCCCTACTAACGTGACAGTCCTTGTTGGTTCAGAAGCCCGATTTAACTGCACCGTGTCGTTAGAATGGCTAATCCTCATCTGGTTGTCAAACGGAAGCCCGGTCCTTACCGTGGTGAATCCTCAAGGAGCTATTATAACATCAGACCGCTTCACCTCCCAAAATTACACCAGCACGAGTGGGTTTACCTCGGAGCTGATCATCCACGACACGCGGCTGAGTGACTCTGGCAAAATAGAGTGCAGCACCCAGCAAGCTGACGAGAGTGGCTCTGCATTTCTCTGGGTCCAAGGTGAGGATGACTGCTGACAGAAAGCTATTTTATTATCGAGTGCTTAAAGAAATCTTCTGATGGATTGCCCAAATTATCTCTGTGAAGGAGGTACATGATCCTATCTAACATGCTTTGTCTCCTCTCCTCCTTGGCTTAATTTTAATGTCACAGCAGGTTTCAGAGTCACCCTTGAAGTGCAATTAAGAGAGGATTGAACTGCCCTTGTTTTTTTTCCTCGCTGTGTCTCCTTATTGGATTTCATGAAAGTGCCTTAAAGGCTATATCAGGCCTTCTAGCAGTCGGTCAGAAATGACCTTTTGGCTAGGGACAGTATGGACTACCCCATACAAAATATCTTTGCATCAATATCTGCTCTTTTTACTGCATATCTCCCTTCTGCTTTTTCATTCAGGATGCACTCCTAAAGCCAGCTTATCTGAGTTTGATTTAATGGAGCATAGAGGTAAAGCCTCTGAGACACGAGGCAGTGCTCATCATATGATTACAGCTATAAGCTACTTTTTGCAAGGAACAGAAGGCTCCTATGCATGAAGCCCTGGCGTATGAAACTTCCCCCTCCTCAAGCATTATTAGTGACAAAATGCAGCTAGGAAAGCAGAATCCGACCACCAGACACTACCATTTGTCAAAGAGGTGATTCATACAGCAAGAATACCTCACCATCTACCTGTAAACATTTCCTGATAAACCCCAAGAGTGTGCTTAAAATTTCCATAGAAACACAGTTACTATTACATTATATTGTCCTTCAGCTGGAAATATATCAGTATGACTAAAAAGTATATTTTAGTGCTTTTTATTGAAAAGGCAAAGTATATTTTAGTGCTTTTTATTGAAGGCAGTGCTAGTGTTTTAGAGATAATGAAGACCGAAGCTAGTGTTTTAGAGATAATGGGCAATAACATGTCCTTGAAGCTGCAATATCTGCACTTTTATGTCATGCATATGGTACATTAGTGTTAATAGTTGTTTTAAAATTCTTTTCTCAAGGCATAGCTAATTTGGGGTAGAAAGGTAAGATTTGAAGGTATCAGGAGGAAAGCAATGCATCCAAGTATTCTGAAGAAAGAAAATATCTTTTCCCTCCTACAGTTAATGGATCTTTATTCATCAAAAATAGCACCTTTACAGTAAGAGAGAACAAAACAGTTGAAATTGTTTGCGAAGCCTTAGGATGGGCTCCAGCTCCAGACATTACCTGGATGACAAATGACTCTTTCATAGATAAGTCGAGGTATGTTACCAAGCAAAGTCAAGGATCTAATGGTCTTCACAATGCCATGAGCATCTTAACTTTGACTCCAACGGACACTGAGATTGTGACTTGTTTAGCTGATATAGAAGCACTTCCTAGCCCTCAGAATGCAACTATAACTGTTTTTTTTCTCGACTCTACTGTAGGTAAGTGGATGCTTGTTATACTTTGCCTATGATATTTTTTTCAGAACTATGCATCTGTGTTTTGTTTTGAAAAATCTTTTATTTGGAAACTAAATACCATGAGATGTGCAGAGGTGACCGAGTTAAGACCTGGTTGTCACAACTTATAGGTTGGGTTAAAATTGCTACTGTGAGAATACTAATACAAGTCCTATGAACCAGAAAGTCCTACCTAGGGCTAATCTGAACAAAACGAATGAATGAATGAATGAATGAATGAATGAATGAATGAATGAATGAAGCAAAAGATCTGCCACTGATTCCTACTGTGGATTGTTTGCTAATAATATTGGTCTTGGCTCCTTATACAAGAAATCATCTAATTAATTTAGATGTGAAACATCTCTGATTATGGCATGTCCCTCATATGAAAATAAAATTCCAGACCTCATTTGCTGAAGGCTAAACCCTCAGGTGAAACTCTGCTCTGTTATGTTCAACAGTGACTTTACCAGTGTTTCAGCTTCCATTCAACAGCTTTACCAGTGAATTGGAAAGATGGCTTTGATTTCACGCCCGGTTTCTACCCACAACCCAAAACAGATTCTTCACTATCTCTCCAAATGCAAGTAGGAGTTTCTCCATATGAGCACTGAGCTTGGCACCCAAGTAGGATTGGGTAGCATTCTAGTCATATGCTGTAACCCAAGGCCCATGTAGATCCAAGAGCCATTTGGCCTGCTGTCTTCTTCCTGATATGGTCACTTTCACAGCCTAGAAGAATATGGATGTATGCAATAACATATGTGGAATTCTTTGTACATTATATCAGATTGCCTTTTGATATTTAAGGGAAATTTAAGGTGGCTTTAATTCAAGCATGAACGTCAAATAAATCTTTAAAAACTATTACTCTTACCCTTGATCACCTTAAATAGTTTTGCTAATGCTGACAGTACTTTTTTTTTTTTTTAATGCTGCTAATCTTTGGCCTCACTGACGTCCTACAAGAGTAAATTCCACAGATTAACACATTCACAATGTTAGGACACTTTTCAGGCAAAACATGGCTTTTATCTGATTTATGCTGTCAGCGTAAAAAAACAAGTGGGACTGTGGATAAAGATTTACCTCTGTCTCCACAGAATCCTGCGAAAAATGTTTTTCTTTTTGAAACTATAATGCAATAAAAACAAATAAGAAGAAATCTTTTTTTCATAGAATCATTATGGTTGGAAAAGGCGTTTAAGATCATCAAGTCCAACCATAAACCCATCACCACCAAGCCTGCTAAACTATGCCTGTAAGTGCCTCATCTACACATTTCTTGAACATTGCCAGGAACAGTGACTCCACCACTTCCCTGGACAGCCTGTTCCAATGCTTCACCACTCT